CCTTTACCAGCCTTTTATATACTAATATGGATTATTTCTAGATTTTGTCAACGCAGCAGCATTTTCAATCAAAATATTTTTCCAAAAAAAAAGAGAAAAAAAATTCCTTCCTTTGTTTTTGAAAACAGTTAATTATAAAAATACAAACAGAGCTGATTATAACGTAGGCCTTTACAGATGTTCCCAAAAACGCCCCCAGCTCCATTTCGGTGCCTCGTTCCCTGTATGTATCATTAAATAAGGCAATCCAGGTTTTTTTTTTGTTTTACGCATTACACATGCACCAACGTGTATGCCTTTTTCTGATGACCTTGTCACTTTGTCTATGATACCAATAGATTTTAATACTCTAGGTATCTAAGTATTTAATAAGAAAGTATAAAATTATTGTCTTCTTACATGTGCTTGCACTTGGCTCTCATGTAGTGGGTAAAATAACCAATATACTTATAAAGCCATTACTTTGATATTCTTTTATGTAAAGCTTCGATACGCAGAATAATTACAAGAAAAGGATCTGTCAACAAGCACAGTCATGTAAGTGTTTTATTATGTAAACGTCCAAGTGTACATCTGTTAATCACGCAAATGAAACCCTCAGATTATATTCAAAATTAATTGATCCTAAAATAAATGTATACACATTGAATGAAACAAAGAATTGTGCAGTAAATAGTTTGAATTTAGTGTAATTGCTGTCGCAATTTTTTGATATTTTAAAATGTTTATTGCTTAAATAAATGTACTATTCTAATGATTTTTTATACATGAAAAACTAATTTATAAATACACCCCAAATAATTGTTTATATTGTGTATGTGATGGAATAATGGAAACAGTGTTTTAATTCATTGTAATTCAATAAATTATTAGGTTATTAGGGCGGTGAAAATAATATTGAATGCTCTCTTAACCATGGTATTAGAGTTTTAATTAAAAAAAATTCCAGTACATCAAGATTTATTTTAAGTGATAAAAATACTTTTCTGACATCTTTGTTTAATTTTAGTTTTTATTTTTTAACTAATTGTAGACAGTTGTGTAAATTAACAGCCCCTGAAAACGTATAGTAATTAAATTAATTCTACCTATTTAAATTTTGTCCGTGTTTTTAACACCTCTCTGCTGAAAGTAAACAAATCAACATTGGAAAGACTGAAAATTTAGAATACACAAGGGCGGAACTTTCATGTTACTCAGTGTCATTTTAACGCATGAGTGAACAAAGCAGTCCCAAGGACTGCTGGTACAGCTTGGTCGGCTTTCTAGAGCAGCCCAACAGTAGTCCCAGAGCAGCACCATAGCAGTCCCAGAGCAATCCTAGAGCGGTCCAAAAGTAGTCCCGGGGACTGCTTTCTGGGACTGCTTGATTGTCAGGGTTATGTTTGGTCAGTACAGTAACTCTAAACAACAGAAGAAATAAATTCAAGAGTCTTTTTTTTAAATCCATGTGTCTAAAGCCTGTGTCACACTGTCACGATTTATAGCTATGATTCACTACGAATTCAAAAATCGCAGCAAATCGGGATTTATCGCAGAAGTACTTGTAGGATATCTTCCTTAATCGTGTTGGATCGCAGCAAATTGCCATACTTGGCGATTGTTTTGAGCATGTTCAAAACAGTCGTGGACACATCCCGATTTTTAATTATTCGTAGACAATCGCACAGCATCCGCACTGCACTCGTACTCATTTTCGTAGCAAATCTTCGAAGTTCGTGCGACATTCGCGGAACTTCGTAGTACTCGCGACACTACGGGAGTCCTTCGAGCTATTTCGAGTGTCCTTCGAGTTTGTGCGAGTGTCTCTCGAGTTACTGAGAGTGTCCTACGAGATACTGCGAGTGTTCTTCGAATTGATAAGAACATTGTACGACTTTCACATGAATATGATATGAAAAAGGACAATTGATGGCAAGTGCTGTATGAAAACTGTGCGATTGAACTACGAGTTAATATGATGTAGGCAGACGGTGTCTGATGTTAACACTGTCGAAATCAAAATACTGCCTAAAATAAAAGGAAAGAAGCTTAGAAAAGTGAAATAAACTGAAAATAAATGTGTAACAGAAACTATAAACACCGTGTACGATAAACACTTGCAGAGATTGAACATAATCAAAAGTTCCACACTGTAGTTTTTACCATGATCAAATAGCATAACTATGTTTAATAATTTCAAACAAATCTCCCTTTACTCTATATATGCATTTCATTACATGTATTATAGTAAGAAATCGCCATTAGTCGTGGAATATCGTGTATGTAACGTGGCATATCGTAGTCCTTCGTACGAGTATCGTATGTTACCGCGTTTAATCCTTCATAATCGTAGAAATATCGTAGCCAGTTCGTAACACTGTCGCCTTAGTTCGTACTTAAATCGTACAAACCTCGTACTTTGTCGCACAGACATCGCAGACACACCATTTTAGCAGCAAAATATTCTACACGCTGTAGTAAAATCGCAAGACAAACCTGGCGATGAACGGCGATTTTCAACTTTTATTTATTCGTGGGTAATCGTAGCATAAATCGTGACAGTGTGACACGGCCTTTACTATGAAGTATTTTGTGCGAATATACAAATTTTTAAAAACTAATCTAAGTAATCCTTGTAAAATATCCAAATATGAAAAAGATGTGTAAGACTCTGTGGTATTTTTTTTTCAAACTCACTGGGCCAAGCACATCATTGTAAAGTTACGGGTCTTGAAATGTGTCACAGCTGGCGTTGGCACGACAAAATGCCCTGAGTATCGATTACAAGTTTAAATTTAAGCCCTTCATTCTTTTGATCATAACACTGATAGAAACCACATAATCGATCTTTTAGATCATGCACGCAGCGTAGAGCTTATAGCATGAAGAAATCGGTCATTTTTTTAGGTTGTTCACTATAATTTATTATCATCAATTGCAATATACAGTGTACTCCAAGTAAAATTGGGCACATTTAGAAAGACGCAACTATTTCGGCAAAAAATATTCTTATAGAAATTTCATTTACACCCTGTTACTTTAAAAACAAAACGTCAAATAATGTACATATCCAGCAGAAAAATGTAATGGTTTAGAAATTCGTAACTCCCACTAAAGAAATTATATTTCTATTTAAATCAGAGAGCGTATACATACCTTTTGTTTTGAAAAGAAATCCGTCTTTATCTAGTGCCAGTGTAAAATGACGACCAAAGAAGTATGTTGCCGCAATTGGGCGTAAATCTTCAAGTGCAACTTGCAATATGTGCAATTTGCAACATGATATGCATGTTCAGTGAACCTAATACTTTAATAAAGCGCATTTTACATGGATACATGGCTCAATAATCAATGTACAATACACAAGTGTTCTATGAAGTCGACAAGCAGACATTATATCATGTTTCTTTATTTTGTGCACCCCAGCCCCCCCCCCCCCCCAAAAAAAAAAAAAAACATGAGCAGAAAGTGATCTAAAAGGCTAACTGATATTTTTTTTCAAAGATTAAATATTTCTAGCAAAGAATAAGTGATAAGATGTAATAAGGCTAATGTAAGACCAAATCTTAACATCAGAACCTTTGTAAGAGAAAAATATTGCAGAAAAAAAGTGTCTGATTCTTATGAAGACATTGATGAAGATGCTGAAGCTACAAATAAAAAGGAGTGTTTTTTGGCAGATTGAAAACAAAAGAAAAGCAGTCCAGATTACCTGAGTAATAATATCTCATTCTGAATATGTATATTAAAATGAGTTCGTAGGAAATAACTTTCGCAGTTTATTAGTTCAATATCATTAACCTAATTATTATACAATTGTTTAGCTGTGCAAGGATGCATTGTTTTCGAAGGCGTGGGTACTGTAGTGAAATAGAATAATTATGGTCGATTAAAATGTTTCTGTGTTTCTAAATGTTGAATAACCAATCAACGTTTATATAACAGCCAATCAGAGTTCCTCGGCTCAGGAATCTAGCTCTTCAATGTCTCATTAACTAGTGTCATGGAGACTTTTCATTGTTTCTTGGTGACTAATAAGTAATAATAAAAATTTCTTCCTTCTGTTTCCATACACAAATCCAGACAAAATGCTTTCAGTTATAATACTCTAGTTTTTTTAATATCCTTCATGCCCATACAAACGTGTCAGTTGACATATGACTCCAAGTCTCAGTCTCTAACATTTTCAAGAATAAAGTTGTATAATTTGCTCTTGTGGTGAAAACCCCAAAACCTGCAATGATAATTTTGCTTTCAGTTTAAAGATTTCATTGTATATTTTTTTAAAGTGACAATACGGCGCATCTCTTCAAAAACAGACTTGGTAAAATTTTCCTACAGGATTTGGAATTTTTTTCATACTTATAAATGTATAAACTTTCAGAAAATTACAAATTTCATAAGTAAATAATTCTGATTATTTCATTAAAATTAATAATTATTTATGGCCCATAAATATATACATCGCAACGTGTTCGGGGTTCCACATTTCAAGCCAGACACGCATGCGTAGTTTTCATAAACAAAACAGCATGGTAAGAGATGGAAACCCGGTAGGCCTGCTACATTGACAAAGTTGACCAAAACGAAAAACAAAACCAAAAACAGGGCTTGCAATTAAAAAGCAACTTTTCTGACAAAAATTTAGTTGGGAGATTAATAAAATCATTGGATGAAGAAGAAACGGGATCTCCGCGACATTCACGTGGGGCTCGCGAAGGTTCTACCCTACAGGTTTGTTGATACATGCTATTATTTCTCGTATCTCCATGGCTTTCAAAGAAAAAAAAAATCAGTGTAAACTCAACGTAAAAATGCACTTATGACATACAAAAATTATTGCCATTTGAAAAGCAAATTGTATTGGAACTGCAGAGAGATATTTTGTTTGACATTTTGCTGCGATGACGTATGATTTGGTGGATTTTCCTTTCTTGCACCCCAATACACAAAACGTCAACATTTGTACTTAATCATGTTAAATTCGTCTGAATGCAGACTAATATGTTAACAATAGGGCGAGAAAGCGGAAGTGCGAGAGTTCGCGAGATTTGGCGTGAATTGAACCTCTGGAGATAAACAAATCCGCGTATATACATAGGCATTATAGATTTCTTGTTTTTAGTGATACAGAATGGCATTGTCCATTCTGTATTGGTTGAATTTTGTATCCGGGACTAAAAAGCTACACCAGAAGTCTGAAGTGGCTGTGAAATCTGAACACGTTCTTAAATTCCTGTATGATCCTGAGCTGAGACACGTCCAGGGAAGGGTGCAAGCCAGCATGAGGGATAGAAGCTATCATATTAACGTATGTATCAAATAGTTTGATATTTGATAATAATAATATATAAGTACATAAACGACATTATTTTCAATATTTCGTGTTGCATTTAGATCACACTTGGGGATAATTACACTGTGGAAGACAGTATCTGTGACTGTGTTAATGGCCAGGATAAGTGTCACCACAAAGCTTCTCTTCTGTTATATGGGTATGCATTTTTTTAATACAATAAAAAATATAAATGATTTTTTACCTTCATTTTATCACAGGTACTTGGGTCGTGGTTTATAAATATTTATAATGTACCTTATTGATATGTAAAATACTTTTTTTACATATCAATAAGGTACATAATAAATATTTATAAACCACGACCCAAGTACCTGTGCATTTTATAAATGTTATTCATCTTAATTTAGGTACAAGAATGTTAGTAAGACGGATGTAAGAGAATCTTGGATAAAACACCCAAAGAGTGGACCCCCAAAGAAAACGATGACCATGGATGAATTATTTCCTCCAACACCAAAACTAGCAAATTATAGGTATATACATGAATTATGTGAATGTGAAAAAAAAACAAAAGTGATATAGATTTTTTTTTTAAATCCCTCTGCATTCTATTCAAATAAGATTAAATTACATTACACTGACAGGGCAACATCAAGATCAGTTGATGAGAGAGATATAAATTTCTTACGGGAAAAGCTGAATGACCTTGGTCGATTTTCAGGTCTTGATTTGAAAAAAAAAATGTTGAAACATGTTTTGTTCTTTGTTTAATTGAAAATGTTTATACATGTTTCCTTATTTTGTTATGTGACCAGACTAACAAAATTTTTTCATTCAGTTTTTGTTGAAATGAAGTTGAGCACTATCAGACTTTCCTGCATATTGAAAGCAAATTGTACGAGATATCCATTGAAAGTGTTTGCATATACTGTATATTGAGAAAATGTTAAAGTATTGTTATTTGATAGACTAATTAAGTATAACCCATTTTATTATTAAAATCAAACCATAACTACTGTATCATTTTAGATTAATAAAATATACTCATTTCAATCATTCATACATTTATAATTTATTAATTCTATTCAAATTGTTAGCCATGCAATGGATAGTTTCTGAAGAACCCCCTGCTCCCAAAGTGGATGTTCCATGCGTAGAGGATCTTCTGTTAACGGAAGGTTACACAAGTGCGACCAATAAAGTGCAGTGGCTTAAAACAAACCTTCGTGTATCGAAGCAGCAGACAGAACAAGTAGGACATTTATATAAGTATACTCTAGAATTATTATGAATTATAAATACTTTGAATCAGTCCCCACCCATTCTTTATTATTTTTTGGGGGGGGTGTACTTTGATTTTATTCCTTTCTTTTAGTCTCTGTTGAAAATACGGATTGGCCAGATCACCTGGTCATTATTTTAAATGTAAAATAAATCACTTCCTTAAGATATTTTAAGATTGAAACAGTAATGAATATATCTAGATGTCAAGTGTATAATGCACACATCAGTAAATACAAACCCATTTTGAAAAATGTGGGTCAGAGTATACAAATCAATTTTTTAATAATGATGGCACAACACTCATATTTCAACTGATTAACTTTCAAGAGAGGGGATTACATTTTGTAAATATTGTACTTGACATGTCTTCAAAAAGAAAAAAAAATATATGTGACATTAAAAATAAATATTAAATTGAAAATTATGAATATCATCCATATATCATTTTTACACAAAATATTTTTTAAACTATATTAATACACATAGTACCAACTATATTATTTTGCAGGTGGCACAAATGACATGTGGTCAACGAACAAATTATCTTTGGGCTTTGGTTAAAAAAAATCGATTAACGGCATCAAATTTTGGTGTGGTACTATCGGCAATAAGAAGACAGAGGTAGTACTTTTTTTCTCATCCAAAAGTAAAGTTAACATATCTTATACAGGTATATTACCTTGTTCAAGTTAAGTATATAATTTACTTTCAACTGAGGAACTATTGATATATTTTTTCAGATTCCCACCATCATTATATAAGCAAATCTTTTCCTCATACAATCTCTCGACAAAGGATGCCATATTATGGGGGATCAGTAATGAGTCAACTGCTAGGACAAAATACTGTTCATTTGGAGATGCTATTGTAGAAGAAACTGGTAAGTGCATGTGCTTATGTGTAATTTATAATATAGCCCACAGGTTTCAAACATCTTAAAGGACAAGAATTAATTTAAACAATTTTAGATATTGGAATTGAACGTGAAAAACACCAAACATATTTATTACAGGTGTATGGCTGCATGAGAGTGGCATATTGGGAGCCAGCCCTGATGGAATTATTCGACGTGCAGCGACACACAATTACAACTACCAGGATGTAGAATTAACAGACCTACTCGAGTGCATGGCTGTTAAACCAGAAGTTTTGGAGGTGAAGTGCCCATTTAGTGCAAGGAATATGTCAATTCCCGAGGCCATAGAATCTGTCAAAGATTTTTGCTTGGGTAGGTTTTAGTTTTAAGGTACAATTTCCGCAAAATCTGAAATCTTGATTAAGGAATGGTACATATTTAATACAAAGTTTATTATTTCGTGTCTCAGATTACCAAATATATGAAGGAAGGAAGTTCTACAAGTTAAAGAAGGGCCACAGATATTACGATCAGGTGCAAGGACAGCTGCACATACTTAACAGGTCATCATGTGACTTTGTAGTGTGGACTACGAAAGACATAGCTATTGTGAGAATTCTTCAGGACAGCACCTGGACCCCAAATATGTCAAAACTCATCGATTTTTACTTTTGTAAAATAATCCCAAATATTGTTCAGGACTGACATTTGGTTAGTATGACATCATATAGGCAATTTTGTATATTTGTACTGATATACGGTAGGTTTTTTATGAGTGACTTAAATTGAAGTTTTTGATTAGTGATTACCAGTAATCCCAATTTATACACATACAAATATGTTATATGTTTATGTAATAATACAGTGAGTTGTAGGGCAATGTCAGACTTGTATACCTGCTACATTGAATATTTTGGGACTTGACTTGAACCGCTTGTTTTCAGTAATCATGAGGCACTATTTATAAGGAATCTTATTGTTATACATATGTACTCGGGGTAAAGCTGGAAACCAACAACAGAAGTTATACTTTGTTTTCTGAATTATTTCTGAAAGTTTTCTCATCATTACACATAATCATGAATAATTATTTCTTGAGTTTTATATTGTATTGATTGATTTTTGCTTGTAGTGTATTTCAGGTTGTTCTTAGTATTTCTTACCACTTAAAAATACACAATATAATTTTTTAATACAGTGAAAGATTTCTTTCAGAACTGTAGAAGAAATAAGTTAAGTATTCTGTTCAAATGTCTTTTTGAATATATATATATCACAATCTGTGTAATAAATTTTTGACTGTATATGCTTTTTTTTTATCTAGTCGAATACATGTAAGGCCATGCAAAGTTAATTACTTGGTTCTCAGGCCTTTTTTCAAGAAATATGATGAGGGAGGGAGGCATTTTTTTTTCTTTTTTATTGCCCCCAAAACATGACGAGGCAGCTTTTTGCATTCTACAAAACCTCAAAAATGATGAGGGAGGTGATTTGGTGTTTATATTTCATTGATTTAGCATTAGAAAGGGTCAATGAGGCACCCTTGGAAGAGATGAGGGAGGGCCTGAGAACCAAGAAATTAATTTTTTTTTTGCCTAATATGCAAGTAAACAAGAGACGAAGTGATGAAAAAATACATGTAAATTTTATGTACAATATGGAACTACATTTTTTGGTATTTCACATATTCCATGTAAATATTGGACATCATTTTGTCAAAGAATTATTTCATAACAATTGTACTGTTCCATTATCCAAAGAGACTAATGACTCGATGTATTAAAAAAAATGGATAAAGAATAGAAATTTACTATAACATATGTAAAATTTGCTAGCTTTCATGATATTATAGAATTTAAAATATACATGCTTTTTTGCAAAAAATAATGATAAATGGAGTATTTTCAAAGAATCTTTGTAAAGGTCAATGACAACATACTATTTACCTTAAAATGCTCTTTTCAAAGTTGTTTACAAGATTTATGATACATATAATACAACCTTTATTTTCCTGGCACTTATACATAGCACTCTACTTGAAGCAAGGTTGGGTTTGTCAAAACTTTGTTACACTTACATTTACAATATCAATTTAGGGTATCAACATCATAAAAGAAATATATGTTAAAGCTGAACACAATTACAAATACTTGGAACCTCTCATGAAATAAATTACATTTGCTCCACCTCTACATTCTTATATCATATATTAATGAGTGTCTAAATCTTGAGCCTGAATGTAATTATCTGCAATCTCTGCAATCACTGGATCTTGAAAATTGACTAGTATAGAACATACTTGAAAAATTTTCGTGCTTAAATGTCTAAACTTGTGAGGAATGTGAGATAATATCTCAAAGTTCTTAATTCTTTCATTTACCCGCTCTACATGGATACGAGATCTGGCAATTTTTCTGCACAGTTGCACTTCGGCAGGAGTGTATTGTCCTTTGTCTTTCAAGAAAGGAGGGATGTTGAGATGCACACCTGCTGGAAGGAGAGAGTGAATAGTAAAACCTTTATCAGCCAGAATCATATCCCCTGGTTTCAACTGGCAGAGCATTTTACTGTGTTCAACAATGGCCACATCAGATGTACTTCCTGGGTAAAGTTTGCTTACATATACCACAGCTCCGTTAGGGGCAACGCCTGTAACAGATTTTACGGTGTGCATGCTTTTATATGAGCTATAAGTTTGAGACTGTGCTAACATATCCTGCCCTGGAACGTCTTGGGTCACCTCTGTCTCATCGATCACAAGACGGCAACAATTAAAATCACCAAAACTTGTCGGCATAGAGGACTTGCACTTTAAGAGGGAGGGAATGTTATTTTCAATCATGCCCTCAAAGAACACCTCATGCAAAGCAAAAATATGTGTAACCACAATATTTTGCACTGTTGTCTTACTTGTGTTGAACCTCTCAGCTAAATCTAAATTGGGAGAGTTTAGCTTCAATTATATCAGTGTCATTAATAACTGGTCAGTTCTTGAAATCACTGCTGGTGTCCAGTTGTTGACATATGTTAATGGAAATCTCTGAATAGTTGAGTCCACTACTCTAAACATGTCTGCTTTCAAGGAGGTGTACATCAGCATCTAATAAAATATGAATTTATGGAATGTAGTTGTTCTAGTTTGTTATAAAGTTAAAAGAATTTCTCATACTGTATATAATTGCATAGAAAACGGTCGTATTTTTTAAGGTTGAATTATTTAGAGGGATTGACCTGCAAAAATCATTTTTTTTTTATAACTCACGTATAACATGGTATATGTTGGATGAAGAGTTTTGGACCAAAGTTTAACTCCCAAAAATCAATCTACTTATAGGTGAGTTTATACAGTATATGCGATTTGAACAAGGACTTATTGTTGTTTAACATCGCTCTCATGAATTTTTCACTTATATGGAGATGCCTTCACTTGCCAGTGGAGGGCTACAAATTCTGACTATACTCGGCACTTATGGCCTTTGAGCAGTGAGGGATGTTTTTCATGCCAGCACTTACTGGGACCTCTGTTTTTACAGTCTCATCTGAAGGACTGGTCTCCATCCCGCAATGGGATTTGAACCCGGGAGGTAAGGATCAACTCCTTATTTCACAATGCTCTAACCACTTCACAGAGGGAGCTACATTGGAACAAATAATGTATCAGTCAGTAAAAAAATGGATACCTTCTTTTCATCATTGATGATCTGGCTTATGGTGAAAGGTTGTTTCCTAGTCTTAAGAATAGCTATTTCTGATGTCAGCTTGTCAATTTGTTGTTCCATTTCCTTCAAAAACCATATAAGTGTGTAACTGTTTTTTTTACAACATTGTACACAAAACAGAGTTTAAGTACTACAATACTAAATACATGTACTACTGAAATTTTTATACTCACTTGGATTTGTTTTAATAAATTTGACTCTTTATCGCAGTAGGTGCTTGTAACGGTCCCGTGTCGCAGTAGATGCTGGTCATGGTCAAAACCCTCACTAAATGATTGAATTGGTTGTGCAGCTTCTGTCTCTTCCACCATAACCACATTTTCTTCTCCCTGGTTTACAGATGGGCTCTGTTTGCATTGTCTGTATGTGTTACATAATTTGCTTATAACTAACTACTTCAAATTTTTACATATGTTCTGTCAGATTTTTTTAACTTCATAAATTTATATTAGCTGTTGATAGAAAATATTTTGTTATTGAATAAATTGTATGGTAAAATGATGTCTCAAAATAATGACACAAAAATATTCAAAACATACCTTGAAATAGCATTAGGGTCTCCAAAGTCAAAATACTGCCCTTGATTCCAAGGGAAGATAGTTGGTCCATTTTCTTTTTTTCCATCTTTGAAATGACAGCTGCATATTCTGTCAGCTGCAGTTACTGTCCTATCTTGTCTCCTGAATTAAATATATTATATTCTAATTATACGTGTAAATATAATCTAGACAAAGATTTGATGTCCGAGTACTATTATTTTCAATTTCATAGCTCTTGTAGATCCACCTCCCCTCTCCACCCGTGCTCTCGTGGGTGATAATTCGGGATAACTTTAAGTTGACTATAAAAGACCACTGTTACAATGAATCAGAATATATTAAAAAGTGAAATACAACACTGATAACTCTGTATTCTTAAGCTGAATTCAATTTCATGCATTAGGTAACATGTTATAGGCGTACGATTGAAAGGACAGTGTATAACCCGACATTCCTCTGTTATATTTTGAGAAGTGTTTTTTAATAAAACATCATACCTGCAAAGTTTTTCCCATAACTTTATTGATTTCTTTGGGAACCTGAAGAAGCTCCAAGTTTCCCGCAAGCTTTGGTGGTTACAGCTCGCCACAAAACAAAGCATTTTTCACGAGGTGAAACCGGCAATATTGAACCGAAAGCACATGTTCGTAATGTTTATCTCCAGCAGCCAAACCGGAAGTGACGCACAAACGAGACTTTCTTGCCCTATTATTAATTTACCGGAGAGTTAAGATATTTTGATTCTCAGAATTCCTTTTACTTAATATTCCATTATCATTGTAAACCCTACATTGTATGCACGTGCCATTTTAGAATTCACGTGGTACAAATAAACAGAACTAAGTTGTACGACCCTTGATTTTCCGGCAGATTTTAATTACTTTAATTCTACATGAGGAGAGAATATTTATTTTTCTCAAATGCTTACTTCAACTTTTTACCTTATTCCTGAATGATATATTGGGTAACTTTGAATGAAAAAGCACACGATTTGCAGCCGTATTGCCGCTTTAAAGTGTTTATACTTTTACCCATAATTACAAGAGAGGTGCATCTCCACATCACTCAATAGTAATTTTTGACCCCATGCCAAAATTAAGACTTAATGTATGCCCTTTCCTGACCCATATTGTTAACAGTGGGGAGGTATGAAAAATATTTTAAAGTCAACCGTACAATGACTGCGAAACAGAACACTTTCTCGTGGAGGTTTGAAGAGCAGAAACTGTTTTATATGCAAAAAAGCAACGATACAGTACGATTTATTTTTAGCAATGACAGAAAACTGAATCCATACCTTAAATGATAGTCATTGAAATCGCATGATAGTGCTGTTAGTATTTATTTAAAGTTAGATAAAATGAGAATAGAAAGAGCGATATATGGTTAGTGTCTCAATTGGCCGCTTAAAATGAATATCTTAATTTTACTTTATATATAGCTTTAATTTGTACAGCTATATATGCGACCTTTATTGGTCATTTTTATTTTGATCAAAATGCCGTTATTTTAAAAATATGACATCATAAAAATCACGTTTTCCCGCCATTTTAGTATATTTTGTATAAAACTGCTTATTTTCAAGCAGTTTTTCTTCCAGAAAATATAGAGCGCAGCCTAGAACAAGCTTTATATTTTTACCAAAGATGTATCTATCCATTATTGATTAGTGACAGAAAAATCATGTATGTTCAACACTGCGCTCTATGTTTCCAATAAGAAAAAACATCAAGAAAAAGGTATATTGTTGGCTTTTTTGTTAACCAGCAAAAATAGCATTTTTTTCTCATGTCATTTACAGCTAGAGAGTACATATAAATGTGAAAAATATATTAGAAATATTTCTAATATAATCTTTTTTTCAAAATAAATATCAAATAAACATATCTGAATGTCATTCCAAAATGTTAATTTTTAGGGGGCCAAAATTGGCTCTTATCATATATTCTCCTTTACAGCGTAAAGTTACCAGAGGCTGATTAAAAATTTTTAGAAAGGAGGAGTCGGTGCAGAAATCAAATGGTTTTCTTAAAAAAAAAAAGACCAAAATCGGGGAGCATTATCAGACCAAAACTTTGAGCGTGATCGTTATGTGTAAATAAATTTAAAAAGGTATACATCCAGTTTAGCAAATATAAATAATTATGAATACTAGATTTTGAATCTTAAAATCTCAACATAACCTTTCAATTTTATAAACAATTTTAAAATTTTTAATATGCTATCATAAAAGCTGATATAAAATGTAATTGTTATTACTATGTTTCTCCATTTCCTCCAATTCGCAATAATCTGTATACCACGCCCAATCATAATTCAATAGTAATTGAGATTTTGAAAAGGATTTTTACACAATTATTTGTTTCTTATCTATTCCATCAGCATCAAAACCCCAAGGCCATGGTTTGAATTGTAACAAATTTAAAAAATAAAAGGTGATCTTTAATTAACAGTAAGTACTTAATTAAAATGAATTTATTAGACATTTTAATTGGGCCTATATGAATAAGTAGTGTGTTTTCAGCACGTTCAGTTCTCCGCCTAACTCTTAGAAATATAGGAGGCGGCCCGCAATATTTTTCTGCCAATATCTTTCCATGAGTAAACTAACTACTGTATGTATACTTTAAAATGCAGGCTTCAAATTTTAGTGGCTTTGGCGCAGACAATGATGCACTAATTCATGAATACCACTAAGAACTCATTTACATATATACAATACACCGCACAGACATGTGTAGCGCTAATTTATGATTAAGCCAACCCAGTGATTATGCTAAATTTTGAAAGCACCAAATTATATACATACTTTATACAGTATTCCAGTTTACAATTAGAAATGAAATCCCAATCTTTATCACTTCCATGTTTGAGAAATGCATAATGATATCATACACATATTAATCAGAAATATTTTGACAGCGATATCCTGGGGGAAAGCGGCAGTATGCCTGCCAATAAAATGTTAAAATAAAATAAAAATGTTTTCCTACCGACTTACCCTATCTTTTCTAAGGTTAAAATAGGAAACACTATCTATTTATCTTGGCCTTAGCAAAATAAAAAAAATACTTATATTTCATCGATAATGATGGTCTAAAATCATGTTTTCAGTAGGGCAATCAGGATAAATGTAGAACAGGATACATGTGAATTAAAGATAATGAAGGCGAATGGACACTATGCAAACCAAGGCATGTGAATAAATATATACAAGTAGGAAGAATGACTTGATAAAAAAAACGATAGCTAAATCAAGCTTTTTTGGAAGATTTAAATACCTTGTCTAACCCAGCTAGGAAATTTTAGCAATGGACCTTTTGAAAAGATGGAGTTCTCTGAGTCTGTGATGTATTTCTGACACTGACACAGTTTATTAATACACGTACAGTTTAAGATATACTTTTTCAATTAATTCGCCCACACAGGCCTCACTAACAGTCAGACAGTCGCACCGTCTAACAGTCTAACATAATTTGCATGGGCATGAGGAGGATAGGCACATGTTTCACAAAAAATTGGGGACAAGCCTTAAACACCTACCATATCCCGGGGGTCGTGAATTCATATAAATCCGTAGTTTGTTTTTACAGGATAGCCATTAGGCCTATTGATAAACATCATACAATTATAAAATACCCAAGGTCTAGGTCGGGTCAAACTTTCCCAAGTTTTACGTGCATGCAATATTGAATGTTACTTTTTTTTTTTTATCACGAACGTCTGTAAGAAATAACTGCATGCATGATTTACGTAGTTAAATATGTTTTCAGCCTATAATATCTTTAAAATATGATAAAAATCTACTTACCACATAATATTCTCGGAGCAGCCATCCCAGGTAGCACAAAACATTTTCATAACATTTTATTTGTGTTGTAAAAAGGTTTTTTCGAAACATTTCAGACTAAACATTTTAAAAATATTTTAAAAACATTTCCTCTTCCCGTTATAACATTCTAAAAACATTTTTAAAATGTTTTCAAGAAGCTTATGATAAAATCATTTTGGAACATTTTCCTATAATGTTTTTGAAACGTGTTAAAAATGAATCAAAAGGTATGTTGAGCTTTCAAATGTTAAAGATTTTTATCTTGCGTTTTAAAAACGTTTTTAAAACATTAAATGAAACGTTTCTTTTCCATAAATCTGAAACATTGCATGAATACGTTTCTAAAACATTTGGATGGAACATTGTCAAAATGTTTTTAAAACATTTGTGATATTATTTAAGGAAAAATGTTTTTAAAGCGTTTTAAATATGATTTAAAAAATATGTCTATCTTTTAAATATTAAAGATTTTATATAACGTTTTAAAAACATTCTTAAAACATGAAATAAAACATTATAATTCTGTAAATTGGAAACATTGCATATTACGTTTCTGAAACGTTTGTAAGGAACATTTTAAAAAATACTTTTAAAACATTCTTAACATCGCTGTTAGTTCAACGTTCAATTCCGGTAGGCAGTGAAAATGTTTTTTTAATTATTATTACATAAAATAATTCTTTTTGCTACAACTGAAACGTTTTACGTAATTATAGTTTTTTCAACATTTTTTGGAAACATTTTAAAAATGTTTCTAAAACGTTTATATAATTCATTTAGTAATTTTAGGAGTATATTGTGAGAATGTTTTTAGAACATTCAATTTAATGTTTTTTTCTTTTCTAAAGACTTCATTTTCATTGCTACAACATTTTGTAATGTTACTTTCAAAATGTTCTTTTAAAAATTAAAAAAAAATGTATGATTGTGATTTTCCTAAAATTGAGTTTGTAAAAAAAATATATACAGAGAGAGAATAGTGTTGAAATGAGGAATTGTAATTTTTTAATTGAAAGATTTTTTTCCGGTATAGTTTACAATAATGTCTATTTTTGGCTTATTAATTAAACAAATATATATAAAGTTTTAGATCAAATTAACAAAATTCGTCAAAAGTCAATAAATGAAAGGATAGGCAAACAAATTAAAATATAAATAAATGAATTTAAATAAAAAAAACATATAATATTCTTAATGTCTTTTTTTTCTTAAAAAATGTTCTTCGTCAAATTTGTGATCCACTCCCAGAATTTAACTCTGAGGCATTAGATAAGGATTGGCACACTGGTCAGCTTCAGTGTCATGATAACCTTGTTATGCAATTCTCCTGCTGGGCAGCGCGTTACAGTGTATAGTGGTTTGCAGCTTATCTAGGCCAAATTTTGAATTCTGGTAAACAAGATGTGCGCGCTTACTCCCTGCCGATTTGAATGAGAAGACTTTACATCGTATAAACCACAAAAATAACCTCGGGATTTATTAACTCGGAATGGTAAGAATTATTCTTTTATCATAGACTTTAAAAGATAATTTAAAATGACTTTTAATCTACTAGTGCATGATCAATGATTCAATGTACACAAATGTATGTAGGAAAGACAAAACGTTAAGGTTAAACATGCATGTATTTGAATTGAATATTACATACTTAAGGCAATACAGTTATATCCTTGATTCAAATACTAGTATTTGTTGTATTTGTGAAAAGTTAATCATCAAGCAATATGTTTATTTAAATGAAATTACTTTACAGCATGGTGTTAGTGCCATCATCCGTTTGAATTCCCACATTCAAAAGACCCGCCTTTGGTGAAGGCAAAGGTGTACGTAAATACTATTACTATTCAATAATATTATTGTCATAGTAAATATTTTTATGCTTAATTTTTTATTAATGCAAAGGTGGAAAGATCTTAAATTGTAATATATATATAAATTATTTCAAAATATATTTTGTATATTTTAATTGATCATCTTAAGATACATAAGATAGATTTAGAACGATGAATTTTCCTTATCTTTACAGGCCGTGCTATTCTTTCTGAGGGGCAGATTCCTTGTCAGCGTTTTCAGTGTATGTGATTCTAACGTTTAACTTTAGATCCGCCGCCCTGTTCGACCTATACAGTGAACATAGGATTTCTGTGATTCTTTTCTTTTAAAATTATGTGAATGGATTAGACGCCGTTTTCACCCTTTAAAACCCGCTGACTTGAAAGAAAATAAGTTAAACTTGTACCGATAATGGAACTTAAATGTGATTTACATATTGAATATGGGTTTGTATTAAAGGTTCAAAGATAAAATATAATTTGTGTTTATTTCTTTTAAAATATAAATATATCATTATTTAATGAGTAAAAGTGACATTTCAGGAAAAATACTTTGGTAACATTCGACTTAAACATGTTAAAATGTTTTAAAAACGATTTAAAATCCATACAAATTATTGAAATTAAAGTGAATAAAACATATTTGAAAACGTTTTTGTAACATTTTAAAACTATGTTATGATAACATTTGTTGAAATATTTTGTAAAATGTTTTAAAAACGTTTAAAAAACCATACAAAATCACGTGATTAAAACATTGCTGAAAAATGTTTTTGTAACATTTTAAGAAAATGTTCTGACAACATTTGCTGAAATATTTCACTAAAATGTTTTAAAAACGTTTAAAAAACCATTCAAAATCACGTGATTAAAACATTGTTGAAAAATGTTTTTGCAACATTTTAAGAAAATGTTCTGACAACATTTGCTGAAATATTTCACTAAAATGTTTTAAAAACGTTTAAAAAACCATACAAAATCACGTGATTAAAACATTTTAAAAAATGTTTTCGCAACATTTTGAAAATGTTTTAAGAACATTTTAAAAATGTTTTTGTGTTAGCTGGGATTGTCCGCAATAAATTGGTATCATATGGGGACCAGCTTAAATTCCGCTGCGTTCCGAATGAACATTTCCCAGCATCCTCAAACATTCGTTTTACGGTGCAGTGAGAAAATTACTGTGAGTCAATTTTACGGACTTATGGGGATTTTTTCAAAAATGACCACAAATCGAATAAATATTATCAGTAGAACACGTAGAATTCAAAAAACCCATGACCATATTTGTAGGGAACGAGAGAGTTCCCCACAATTCTGAACTTTCCCCATAAGAAAGGTCCCTTGTCAGGTGTGAGTTCCCCACAAGTCGGTGAGCGCGAGTGCTCTCTCTCTCTCTCTCTCTCACACACACATTTTTTAGAAATAGACCTAGATGGAAAGTTATGTTTAAACATCGTTTATTATGATAGTTTGAAAGGATGACTGCACTTAAGGAAACTTAGAAATTGCGACATATTTAATTTTTAAAATGGGCATATTTCTTTGAATGGTAGAAATGGCCAATGTCTTAACTGCAACTTTGTGTAATTACGTTAATTAAAAGTTCGTATTAACGAAGTTCGAAGTCGTTTTTATAGGGAAGGGGTCATCGCATATTCTGGAATCTCCGTAGGATAATGAGTACGCCCACCTTTTTACAGGCTTAATACATAGTCAGCGCATATTTGTCTATTGTTCTCCTTTTTAAGGTAACTGTATATTTATATATATTACCTCATATTAAAAGGAGATCAATAGACAAACATGCGCTCATGGTTAAAAAGAGAAAAAAACTGTGTCTTCGTGTGTTCACTTTCTCTATAGTTAACAGGCCATTTTGACCACGTTATTACCTGTTGAATATTATAATTATCCACGTGATTTCTATACCCAGGTAAATCTGTGAATACTAAAATTCCATCACGTGACGTGTAAGGAAACACGCATTCTGCTGGGCGATAGTGATTGTCCATATCTGTTTCAATTCATTCCCATCGAGCCACGGGCTATTCTTTTTTCTCTTAGATATCTTTAAGTTTTTTCTTATATTTATCTCAAAAGCGTTTCATTTTACTATATTCATATATTTTCTGGTGTATTATATGTCTCTACATGTTCGTAGTCTACAAGAAAAAAGAGATTTATTTATTATGTTTTGAACCATCGCTTATCATGAACATCCAAAGTTAGATCCAGTAAATAAAAACGAAATCATACCATCCCCCAGCACGCTAATTTATGGGGAAAAGAAATTAAGAAAAACTTAAGTAATTGTGTCGTTTTTATTTCTTTTTTATAAAAAGAGAAAAACTATAGTAAGTCTTAATGTTGTTAGCGGGTCTCAATCCCAGACCTCAATATTATTGATTCTGTGCATTACCGACTGAGCTAGTCGGCACTTATATTCGAACACGCGAATTGTTGACATCAGCCATTGCTGTTGATTATCAAGGGCTACTTCTACTGGTCAATGTTATTTGTTAATAGTTATATACTTATTTGAAAACTAAAAAAAATGATAGTGACAAACATATGCAGAGAGAAAGAGAGAGAGAGAGAGAGAGAATGCACCAAATATAAATACAGTAACTATTCTAATTTTAGACCACTCTTCACAATATTAGCTCCGCCTCTTATGCATATTTATAAATCTTCTTTCCAATCAAGGGCAGATAAGTCTAATTTCCCGATATTTGCAGAGAGTTGGGGTAAGAAAACAACGAATTATTTTATTGCAACGCAGTCTATAACGTTTATGACTTTGCATTTCATTTGGAAATAGACCAAACTCTATAACAAATGACATAAGGCAAAAATAAAAACAAAAATAAATGTGACAACAGAGATTGAAAAAGACCCAAAAACCGGCGTTAATTGCAGTCATCCTTTGTTCTTGTATTAAACAGTTTTACGTGTGAACATTCTACATTCACATTTGGTTTTGCGTCACATTATCATATTTTAGATATCACCACACGGCACACCTCGGCCTATTCATACTTCATATCATGAAGGCGACGGAATCAGCAAAGGTTTGTCAAATGAGATTATTTAGCACATGAATGCTGACGATGCAGTGTGGTCAGTTAAAATCATTTGTGTTTTAATTCGATTATATGGATTATATTTCATGTATTCGGTGTCAGGACCTATGACATTCGGTAACTACAAGATTTAGTATAGAATGCATAAAAATAAATAAATGCAAATGGTTAGGTTGGAGTTCAAAAAAGGGTCAAAGATCAGCGCATGCCACAGTCGACAAATTTCACATTGTCAAGTTATCTCCCGTTGCGGTTATTCAGTATATACAGGGGCAGATCCAGAACTTTTTTTTTTCGGAAAGGAGGCGGATGTCATACCTCAGTCAAAAAAAATCCAGCCCAAGATTTCCTGAAAACTCCAAGGTCAAGAAATCAAGAGGTTAAAATTGGTGGTACCCATTTAAAGGTTTTGCCAAAAGAAATTTTCTATGAAATGTGGAAGCCGTGTGTATAGTCCAATCCACTTAAAACTTATGGACAAGTTAGCATAAAAAAAGTCATTTTTCGACCCCCATTTGATCCCCCGGGGCAAAATCAAAATTCCGAAACCTTAAAACACATCTACATGACCCCACCAACCATCTCCCAAAAGATGATTAGGCTGCTGAATAAAATGTAAGAGGAGTTCAGGGAAGATGGGGCTTTTTGCATAAATACGTCATTTTTCGACACCCATTTGATCCCCCGGGGCAAAATCAAAATTCTGAAACCTTACTGCACATCTACATGACACCACCAACCATCTCCCAAAAGATGATTAGGCTGCTGAGTAAAATGTAGAAGGGTTCAGGGAAGACGGGGCTTTTAGCATAAAAAACGTCATTTTCCCACCCCCATTTGACCCCCCGGGGCAAAATCAAAATTCCGAATCCTTACTGCACATCTACATGACACCACCAACCATCTCCTAAAAGGTGATTAGGCTGCTGAGTAAAATATAAGAGGAGTTCAGGGAAGAAAAGTGTGACAGACGGACGGACGGACGGACGGACATGAGTAAGAACAATATACCTGACTTTCTTTAGAAAGTGCGGGTATAAAACTTCATCTGTCTTTCCCGATGAGAGATTTTTTGTGTTTTATCTATAATTATTTTCAATCATGATTTAATGTTAACATGTATATAAATCTTCGAATAACAGAGCGAAGAATTTATTACAATTTAAAAGCCGAACTCAACGGTTTAGAAATATTAATGGGATATAAGCCTTTTAAAAAGATCCATAAATAAAACTGTTTATATTTTGATTAATAAATCAATTTAAGACTTTGCAAACGTTCAACAAAATAAATATATTTTTACAAGTCCAAAGCAAATTTTGAGCAAAATAAATGTTTAATATTTTCCTTTAAATATTAAGAGCAGTGATAGCCTAGTGGTTAAGACGACTGCCACCTAATTGAGAGGTCATCAGTTCGCGCCCTGCGTGTGATTTTTTTTTTTTTTTTTTTTTTTGAATTTTGAATTTCGTTCTTTTCCTTAATTTTACCAAATCAAGATATGTGTGAACTCGACATTTATAATTTGTGATGACAAATCACTATAATAATAATTTTTCACCCATAAAAGCAGTAATATCGACTGCGTAATGGTGGCTTAATGGTAGCTTAATGGAGTTTGGACATTAAGCAACTGTAAGTCTACCTTAATGGTAGCTTAATGGTAGCTTAATGGTGACTTGATTGTGGTCTAAAAGCTACCATTAAGAACCTGTAAGCTTCCATTAAGCTACCATTAAGCTTCATTTAAGCACCCATTAAGGACTTTGAAATGGCTAAATGGTAACTTAATGGTGGTGTAAATGTTACTTTAAGGTGCTTAATAGTGTCTTAAAGACAACCATTAAACTACCATTAAGGACCTATAAGCCACCATTAAACCAGGATTAAAGGGTGTGTTTCATCTTGTGCACTTTTCTAAAATTAATGTCTAGATCAGTTTTGAATAAACAATTCAAGATATATTTATCAAACTTTAAATGCTGATACATACTGCTGAGAGCTATTAATACATCAACTTATTTTGACCTTGAATTTTCCTTTGACCTTGACCTCACTTTTTAAAATATGTGTTTATCTAAGTTTTAAATAAACCATTAATTATAGTTTTATCAAACTTCATATGCTAATAGTAAATTTATACTGATGTAAGCTATTCAACTGCAACAACATTTTGGCCCCAACCTTTCCTTTGACCACCCTTTTCTTAAAAAAAGAGTTATGCTCAGTCTCATTAAATCATTCAAGATATTCTTATCAAACATAATATGCTGATATGTATTAGTGAGAGCTACTCAACTGCATCAAAAACTTCACCTTGCACATTCCTGTGACCTTAACCTCCATTCTATTTTATTTGTATTTCGCACAGTTTTAAAGAAATAATTTAAGACATTTTTATGTTTAGAATGCACTTATACATAATTTGGTTAGGATTTTAAATCTATATCCAATTTATTTAGATTTTAGTTTCAACTCTAAAGAAATTGTTCAAGATATTTTCAACAAACT